CGTTAGCCCTGCTGCATTTGACGCTGGAATACAAGCCGCTGAGATGCAACCGGCAAAGCCAGTATCACTAGGAAAGAAACTGCAGGTAACACCGTCACCATATGCCGTGAGTGTCACTCAAACAACAGCTGAATATTCAGCTCCAAAAATGGCTCCTGTGTCAGCACCTGTTCTTACAACAACCACCGTTCAGGCACCGATGGCATTTTCTGCGCCTCCACCACAACCGCAGATTCAAACAAAAGACAAGGCATGTGAGGCTACTACAAGCACGGTTTTGTGCGCCACTGGGGTGCAAGCTAAAGAGGTGCAACAACCGAAGCCGGTAACATTTGGAAAGAAACTACAGGTTGCACCGTCTCCCTATGCTGTGAGTGTCACTCAAACAACTGCTGATATTCCAACTCCGCAACTTGTTCGCGTTGAGGAAGCGCCGAAGGTGTTTGCTGCACCTCCACCACAACCGCAGATTTCAACTGAAGATAGAGCTTGTGAAGCCATTGCAAGCACGGCAGCATTCGATGCTGGAGTGCAAGCAGCAGAGATGCAACAACCGAAGCCACTGTCGCTCGGAAAGAAACTCCAAGTAACACCGTCTCCTTATGCCACCACTATTTCTCAAACATCGTTTGAAGCGCCTGCTCCGATTAAGCCTACAATGGTCAGTAGAGAGATTCAAGTATTGCAGCATCCCCTAGAAACTTCAAGTGTTCAAGCAACTGTTCAAGAGGTTAGCAGGTCCCAGCCCAGAATCGTACAAATTGATGAGGCTCCGAAAGTCTTTGCTGCGCCACCACCAGTCCCCAAATCCGTGACCGAAGACAAGGCATGTGAAGCTATCGTTGGTGCGACCGCGTTCGATGCAAGTGTCCAAGCTGCCGAAGGTTCAACTCCAAAACCAGGTAGCTTGCAGTACTGTATGGCCAACACGCGAACCACGGACACCTCTGCTCCCGTTGGGATGGGCAAGAAATTGCAAGTATCTCCGCTACCTCTTGAAGTCTCCACTGTCCAGACAAGGACGACTGATATCCCTCCGCCACCGCCGCAACCCGTCGTTCAAGTGATGGAAGCTCCAAATGTATTTGCAGCACCTGTATCTTTAAAAGTTGAGCCAAAGGACGCAAACACGCAGTCAAATCCCGTGGTAGTTGTACACAGGACCCTGCAAACTACCGACGAATTAACAGCGAAGGTGAGGACAGAAAACGTGTCTTGTCAGTCTGATCCCGTTCCACAGCCCGTTAAACCGATTACCTATGGTAAAAAGATGCAGGTTGATTTACGCTCACCCATAGAATTTGAGTTGGTGCAAACCAAGACCGATTTATCGTTTGATGTAGCCAGTGTCCAGACTAAAATCGATATGCCAGAGCCAATGGTGATCAAGGAACCGACGAGAGAAGCAGTACCGCTATTTTCGGCGCCACCAGAACCCCAAACGGTAGACAGAGCTCTCGATGCCAAACCGTTGACAAAGGTGAGCGTTGCGACAGTTCAGGCCAACTGGAAGAGCCTTTCAATTTCTACTGTGCAATCCTTACCAACAGACAAGATTGCCATGCGAGACACTGGGTGCGATCCTCTGAAAAGGTGGATTAAAGAGACGGCGACACAGTCGGAGGAGGTCATCAAGTTCGGCAAAAAGATGCAGGTGATGCCGTCCGCGTTGGCGACTGGAATCAGTCAGACCATGTGGGTGGAAATGGAACCGGCTCCAGTGGTTAGGCAGGTGGACATGCCAGTTGTTGAGTCTGCGCCACCATTGGCACCTGTGGTTTCAATGGAAGATGTTGCCTGCGACCCAGCGCCTGCCCAGCCAAGCGTGAATGCCTTCACTCAGTCCGACAGTGTGGTGACATTTGGAAAAAAGATGCAGGTGATGCCTGTCTCTCTCGTTGTTACCGCAATTCAAACATCGCCTTCTGAAGTAGCCGTTTCTGCAGCTCCTACAATTATTGCGCATCAAGACGAATCCAGCAAGGTGTTTGCAGCCCCGCCCGTCGCCAGGACGGCAACAGAAGACAAGTCCTGTGAACCATTGCCTGGAATTGTCAGCAGGGAATGGGGAATTCAGGCGACTGCAAAGACGCCATCTCAGGACTTCGCTGTACAGTACGACACACCGATTCAAAAGCCCACCTGTCGCAGTGTGCGAATTCAAAAGGGCGTGGGCGCGTTCGAGGGCACGCGTGCCATCGGCACCCAGTTCAGTGCTCCTGAACCTCGTCGTTCACCGTTTTCACCGCTCTTGCCAAGAGTCGTCGGAATCGACTGGGGTGTGCAGAACAAGCCGACCTCAATGATCGGCATGACGCAGACCTCGCCAACAGAAGCACTCGATTCACCGCAAGTTAAACCCGCCATGTACCCGAAGATTACACAGACCAGCTTGGAAATGCCCGAACCGACAAAACAGACTAAACTGTACTCAGCTCCACCTGCGTCACCGAAACAGCCCGAGAACTTGTTCTCGTTTGTGCGCGAGACTAAAGCACGAGTCACTTCTCGCAGGGGGCGAGCGGGGTCGCAGGGATTGATTCCTTACAAAACACAAGTCTTTAACCAGATTGGTACACTGTCGGTGAGCGTTCCATCAATGCTGAATGTACGAACCGACGAAATGAGTCCGATAACGGAGTACCAGGCGTATTCACATCGCACCACAGCCTCCCAGATTCCACGCCGGTACGCTAGCAGGATTAGGTCACCATCCATTAGAAGCACCTACAGCAGACGAAATCGGTCGATGGAGAATATTCCCACAAGAGGCTCACGCACCCTCCCACGGCAATACATCAGCGATAGTGACCTGTCAATAGGCATGCGGCAAATGCGACAGCAGATGGAGTTGGAACAGCGCTGCGACGAATGCATTACCCAGTGCGTGCGTCTTATTGGCTACGACAAGGTGGCCCAAATGGTCAGGGAGGCAGGAGCGGCTGAGGAGGGTGTGGAAAACGATTTTCTCGACAGTTTCTATGGAAAGCGAAGACGCCTTCAAAACGCCCGAACTCAGTACACGTCGACGACGAGAATCGCCTGTCCGTACTGCTATCAGGCCTACGGCTTCGACGGGATGGAAACTGGTGCGAGGGAAGGCGATGAGGGCGACCAGTGGCGCGCTGGTGGAGATCGCAGGGTTGAAGAAAACATCTACGGTGGAGAAGATGGCTATGAGTGGGACTCGGTGCAGTCGCCCTACAGCTCTACGAAACACAGCACCTTTAGATGGATCACGAGAACGCCAATCAGTCGAGCAATGCAGACGGAACCCACTCAGGGTGAGGTGGATCAGTTGATGAAGAGCAGAGCTCTGACTGCCTACTGCAGCGACTTTGAACTTCAGCAAAGTGGAATAAAGGCTAATTTCGAGGAGAATGCTGCTTTTACCTTCGTGGCTTGGAAGACAGGCTACGAAAGCGAGGACAAGTTGGAGCTGGACACGGTCGGGAACTTGCTGAAGCTTACCTTGGTTGGAGCTCGAGTACCCGGAACTGGTGAGGTGATCTCCGCTGCAGATGCCTTCTATCGTGGAATCCTACGAGTCATTTACATGGACGACGAGCGAGGTGCCATTCTGCCCCTCCCAACCGCAATCAACGCAAACGCTGTGATAGTTGAGAAGCGGTATTCCACTGGCGTTGGAATAGCCCTACGTAGTCATCCCCGAAGATATCCAGTTGAATGTGCATCGGTTTGGCAAACACCGAACATGTGCCGACGGACCTACCGAGTGAATTACATCCAACTTGACGACAACGAACGAATATCTGTCGGCAGAGCCCTGGACGAAGGCATTATCGACAAGTACAGCGGCGAACTTGTTGGCGTGACAGCCCCGCCCACCGCAGACATGGGCGATCCGCTGCTACAGATGAGGGAATCGAGCGTTGGGACCGGCGAGACTATGGCCCGAAAACAGCGCCCTGAACGGTTCAACATTCGTGAGGCCATCCTCAACGACGTGATTAGCGTCGATTTAATCGAGCCTGAAGTCATAGTTGCACCGCAAACCGAAGCTGACTCCGTGACATTCAGCCGACACCGCGAGGGCAGCCTCTCAGTTAGCTCAGACAGTCGCTCAGACCTGGAGGTTTAGACGTGATTCTTCAAGGAAGATTGCCTCAAACTATCTCTCATGCACATGCACACACGCTATTTTTCCCCTACAACCCTGGTGATTATAAATTTTCGACTTGTCTTATTGTGTATGACCAGACATTTTTGTGAAGAAATCTTTTACTACTTTTACGGTAGGATTTTGCTTTGGAAAAGGTGTGTCGGAAGGGCGCACTATTTGAGGACTGTGCAACGAAAGAAAATTCCACGAAAATTTCAAACACACACACACACACACGAAAGCGTAAATAAGAGTGCGGCAAAATTTTGTTTGGTTTAAACAAATAGAACAGACGTGTACATGTAACGAAGAGAATATGTACTGGGCTGCTAACCTGGGTTTTACAAATTAGTACACGAAATACGGCATTTAATGATGTGGATTGTCCAATATTTACTGATACGATGACAAAACGCTAGAAGCACACAGTAATAGTGAAATTTTGCGGACATCTAAAACAGATTTGCGTTATCTAATTAAGCTCAGCCAACGACGAGTTCTTTCGTGGTGCTTGCCTGCTAAAGGTGAATTTTAAAGAGATCACCAATGGGTACTGACACGCTAATAACGTACGAAAACACGTGAGCCCAAATGGCCATCTACAACAAACCAGAGGGCTCAGCAGCTAGTCTTGATCGATTACTCTTCTCGACATCCACCACTCAAACGGAAGTCCTTCCCTGTGTGATTTATGCCGCTATCGGCTGTCACGAGGCGACGACGCTGCTTAGGTGTAGTTGGTGGAGACGATGATTGGCGCTCCACAGTGCAGTCTTGAAGGAGACGAGCATTTGGCCGTACTTTCACACGTCGCAGAAATGTCCAAACGCCACAGTGAGTCTGGGGGTGATTTGTTTAAAATGTGAATGGAAAACAAATTATGATTAATTCTAATCAATTTCAGTTAGGTAGAGCATGAGCCCCCCCCCCCACAGCTCAAGATCAGTAAATACGGAGGTATTCAACCATTTGACTGAGCCCGTGAATTATTGAAGCATTCGTTCATTGATCACCAGAAACACTCAAACTCTCAGCTTTCCAAATTCGTTGCAATCGGTGATCGCACAAACACACACACAGAGGGAAAATTATTTTTAAGAATGCCTGTTTGTCTGTCATTTGCTCGTGGGGCCGTGTGAAAGTTATGAACAGCTGGGAGGGTAGATGATTTAAACCCCAGCTTCAACGACGGCACGTTGCTCCCTAATCGCACGATTAAACTTCATGACCCGAATTCCCATGGGATTTCAGAGGTCGAAATCCGTCAATCAACCAATTAGCTGTGCTTTCTAACTCGTATAACATGAAACTATTGGGCTAGGCGTGGATGGCTACAACCCTTGCCCTAAATTAATTTAGTTACGAAGGAAAACGAGGGTTGACAGTGATGAGAACAAAACGACATGCACGTTTTTGAAATTAGCTCATTTTTTGACATTCCTTATTCACAAGGTCATCCAAGTCCAGAACAAATGAGCTTATTTTGACGCGGAGAACTCGTAACGCTCCTCTGGAGACGCTCTCGGTTGCCGCAACGGTCAACAAGTATGTCTTCTTAAGGCGAAAATTCTTTAAACTACTATTCTACCGTGAAGTAAATTGTCAGTTCCAATGAATCGCCATGTAAATTCGCTGGTTCCTATGGCAACAGGCATCACCAAGTTTGGCAATACGATGCTACCGAACCTCAAGGACTCTGTTCCAGGGATACACTCCAAAAAACACTCAGTGTAAACCTTATATGCTGGTGTTGAAGGCCTTTTACCACAAGAAGCAACCCGGGAAGACAGTAAGTCCAGAGATGGCAAGCACGACCGTTTGCTAGACAGCTCAACCCAGTTGTGTCGTGTACATAAACGGTCGAGTGGACATGTACAAACATAAACACAGGTGTCCATGAGGTCACATGACTAAAGCGGGTGGTGGTGGTACATGCAGAGTGGTTGATGGGCGCGTCGTGAAAAGGGGGGACGTGGGCTGGAAGCTGCGAGGACTGGGTTATTGGGCATGAATCAACATGAATCCCTACGCTGGTTTAATCCGTGGATAAAGGCTAATGCTATTTCAAAACTGCTGAATGTCGCTATGAAAGGGTCTCTTCTCTCGAAATCATTCTTCACAGTGGCACAAAATTGTCCTTTTTAATCATTAAGCCTTAAATTTATGCTAAATTTGAGTTTATTGGTGTCGTCTGTCGTTTGGATTATCCCAATTTGGTTGGAGTAGGTACTAGGAAAATAACTCCCTAAAAATTGTGATTTTCTTTAAAAGATGACCACTCTGAGAATTAAACTACCTTGAGGCCAACGTACTATTCCAGTAAGTTTCATTGCACTTAAATCATTCGCCTTAAGTGATTGAATTCAACTGTAAACACACGAAATTCGCGCTTCCACAAACAGTGGCTTTGTAAAACTATGGCTCCGTGGCTAATTTTTCCACTACTTCACCTATCCGCTCACTGTAGCCAAATGAACTGCCCAATAATCTGACTTCATTCAAGTTAAGTAGCGCTAATTGGGCCGATTATCATGGCCGGCAAGTGAACGACGCACAATCTCGTGATTTACTTGCATATCTCGCGAACATTTTAACGATCTGCTGTGCACACGTGTCGTAAATAATCATCCACCGTGTTCATAAACAATCGCAGAACTATGTACTTCCAAATCCCAAGTGTATGCAAACATTGCAGAATCTTTCACCGTTTAATGAAGCTCAAATGTAATAAAACATATTAGTAGAACCACTAAACCTTCTTTTTGGAACCCTGAAGTGTTCGATTACCAATAAATTTAATTTGCAAATTGAAGAATTACAGTTATCGGTGGTAATCGATTTGCGTTATCTAAAACCACTGCGTCATCGCGCATGCCACAATTTTTTACTAATTACTTTAACTCCCACGATCTCATTCAACTTCGCTTTATGACTCCATCTGAGTAGCATCGCTAGTCGTTGTAAAGCTCTCCATGACGCACTGCTAAGTTCGCAATAACTATCAAATGTGATTCCACGTGATTGTGTGCGTGTGTGCATGCATGTGGCTTTGTGCCAACTTCAACGAAATCCAATCACATTTGCCATGGCTTGTCGCTCTCCTTTTACGAGGATGTGGCATAATCAAAAGCAGTCGTTCTAATTAGACCGCTAGACAAATTTGCAGTGGTATCTCCTCGACTTGGTTTTGTGTTGTGGGCTGGTAAAACGATTTCAACGCTCTCTGATTGGTACTGTCAGCGATTCTGCAACTCCCTCCCTGGGTGCCAAAGTCAATAGATCGATTTCGAGAAACTATAAGGGCTGGAATACCGCTACCTAGGTAATTTCTTATGAATCCCTCACGTCGATAGTTCTGCCCACTGATTGGTAGGAATGAAAAGAATAAACATTTCAGGAATCTCAGGTGTTTTTGAGGCTTGACAAATGATCCCACTAAGAGGTAGCATTCATTTAAATCAAATAAAACACTTGTTTTAATTGCATTACGTTGGGTGGCGCTAGCTAGAATTTGACTCAGACCTCACAGCATGGGGCTATTTGGTATTTTTTTTTAATATCACGAAGTTAAGTAATATTGGCCCTACCCTTGCACAACCAAAACATTGGTGGCTGTCAAAACTGTGCAATTCTTATGCAACTGAAATTTTCGTGCACGATTTGAGCATCTTCGTCCGAAACAGACCTCAAATCCACGGTAAATACTTATCAAAACTGATTCCAGTCTATGACCAATGGTGTTAGGGGATGTCAACAGTTGTTGTTTAAGGCCTTCTTGACAATCTTGGCCAATAAACTAGTCCAAAACTCTATGGCCAGGTGGAATAATTGAACTAATCCTCACAAGGAAAACTAATATCGACATAACCGATTTTTAAAGGGAAACGAGGGTTTCATCTGCTTTGTAAATTACCCACAACAATGCACGCTAAGGACAAAAAACTCCAATGAAGTAGGCTTTCATTTTTGATTGAAGTAGAGACTGGGTGTTCTTAAGTAGATCCACAAACCCACCTCGAATAACATGCCTGATTCTAATCTCACGAAGACTAACACGACCTGTGGCCTGATTTCTGCACTGCTTAGATGCATGATTCTGTTTTTTAGACAAAAAACTAGGGGGTCTGAGAATGAACGACCTTTCCGATTAATTTTTAACGCTTGGATTTGGTAAACGAGAATTTTTGCATACATGCACACAGTCATCTGCAGGTACAGTATGTGAATAATCGGAATAGTTTAAGAGTAACGGTGTCTTAGACGGACACTACTGGCTCGCTTCACGAAGAACAAACTTTCAAACAAATGAACACGAATATTGCCAGGCCACTGTCGAGCAGAAAACCACGTTAGACCAAAAAGAAGGCTCATTATCGCAAGAGACGAAAATTGTGTTCATGTGGGCTAGTAGTGACGAAGTGTCCGTGAACCAATTAATGGTTTAGAGGTTCGTCAGCCAATGGAGAAAGAGCGGGATGAGAGGGCAAATGGCGGCTTAATTTTGCAAACCTGAAAACCTTATTGGATTTTGAATAATACCTTTCCATGCTAACAGTTTGGCGCTGTTCTTCATTGAGCTTCCAGCGTGCTGAAATCCACCACATGCCTCCACCAGCTCCAGTCTTATTGACCCAACGCAACACGGCGACCCATGCGTGGTTGGTTCAAGACCACATGGCTGGACCCCACAACACATTCAACCGATTTTAATAATATGCAAGATCGCTTGATCTAACAAAAACCATATTTTTGTTCGAAATTTGTGTTACGCAGTTACGATGAGACAGGTTAGGCGACTTCAAACCACCTTTTCACAATATCGTCAACCTTTTTATTGCTGTGGAACACCGTTTGCTTGCTTCTGATACGGCATGTCTGCCCTCTTCATCTCCGTTTTTGTGAGCAGAGTTGAAATCGAAAAATCGAAAAATATCATAACTGGCTCCAACAAATCACGTACGAGTTTTCTGGCTTTTTAA